GAAGAAGTGCAAACTCGCAATTTCCGGGTGTCAACCTTTCTGGACGAACAAGTTTCCTTTTCAGCTGTGATACATGTTATGCATTTAAAGTGTCTATGACATGAAAATCTGGAATTGATTTTTTTCAATATAAAACAACCTGGCAAAATTTCATGTTAATTGGTTTGATATTCTTTAAACTAAAACGATTTATCCGCAGAGCTTTTCTCTTGATATCCCAAAAGATCTCAGACCAAAAGCCAGATATTTAAAGCCAGATATTTAAAGCCAGATATTTGAAGACTGCTCGGAAAGTTAAACCTCAGGGAGTATATGTTAATGAAGACCTTGCATTTGATACATTGCAGAAGAGAAAAGCACAGATGCCAGAGTTAATAGAAGCAAAGAGAGCTGGAAAGATAGCAAATTTCATATTGGACAAACCAATCGTCAGAAATAAGCCAGTGGTTGAAAGTAATTTAAGATAAGTAGATACACAGTTTTAATAGCTGTCTTTATGGCTCTTAATGACCTTAACAGTTTGCTATTTCATTGTTTAGATGACAATGAATTTTTGCATGTTATTTTTGAGCAAAAACATGGCCCTGTTCATTACGATTCTGATCATCTAGCACCTTTAAAACTCAATCCTTTATTGACGGATGTATATTGTGATCAACATTTAACAACTACTTACGACTTAGATCCAGATTCAAACTTTAATGCAATATCTGTGATTATTTAATTGAAGAACAATTTAATGATGATAAAAGATAAGATAAACAATAGAGATAATTTTTCATTACACTTAAAAATTAGACGTCTTCAGCTTATTTGGATATATTAACAGAGCTATTGTCGTGTTTGAGTTGGCAATTTTCAGTTATTTCAGTTATTCCCGTGACACGAAGCACCTAGTTGACATTCCAAATTATAATTTTATTCATAAACATTGTACGAGTAGTTATGGGGGTAGATTTGGTTTGTACTTTTCAAAACAGCTACAATTTAAGAATAGGTCTGATTTATGTCTGGAGAGTAACAACAGTGCTGATTCGTTATTTATTAAAATTTGCAATCCAAAGGGCAAAAATATAATTGTAGGTGTTTTGTATAGGCCACCAGGTAGTAGTGTCAATCTTTTTGTTCGAAAATTTGATGACTTGTTAGGAAAAATTTCTAGTGAATATAAAATTTGTTATCTAGCAGGAGATTTTATTCTTAATTTAATAAGTTATCAAAATGGCACTATCACAGTAAGTTTTTAGATCATGCTTTCAAAATTCCTATGATAACCTGCCCAAAAAGAATAACAGCTCATACAGCTACATTTCCAAGATAATTCACAAATGGAAGCCAGGCTAAAGGCGGGGGTTATATGAAATAGAACAGAAATTGTTTAATGAATTGGCGAGATTGCGGTCTGAATTTGCAATTAGTGATGATACATACTAGTCATCCCGCGAGGCAAGCCCTGATCACTGATGCTGACCGACTGAGAAAGGAGAATGTTGTCCTTGAACAAAGGCTTCACTATGTAGAAACAGAGTTTAAAAATTTGAGAGAGGAGACACATGTTTTGAGCGAAGAAAAGAGAAGTCTTGTGAGTGCCTTAAGACTTGTTTCTAATGATTCCGAAGAAACTGAAGCCATTAGTTCAAGAGTCATCACAGATCAGACAACATCTAGTCAACATGCTGTTCATAATGAGCTAACTGAGCATCATGATTTGGTATCGACCACCCGATTCGGCTGTTGACAAATTTAGGCTTTTTGAGACACTAGTTGGTAGGATTGATGTGGAGTGTGTTGAATTTTATATAATGGGTGATATGAATTGTAATGTAGTGGCTTCTCAGCTAAATCATAATTCAAATCGTCTAACTAGTATAGCAGACGTATATGGCCTGCATCAATTTATTTGTGAGCCTACGCGCGTTTCAAATTGTACGTCTTCTTTGATTGATATGACATTTGCTAACAGTCCGGACAGGGTGGTTTGTTCAGGTGTTGCTCATGTCAGCATTAGTGATCATAGCTTGGTATATGTTTATCGTAAACTTACAATTAACCTGGTCAATAGCGGTCACTGCACAGTTGGCTACAGAAATTTTAAAGATTTTGATCAGTACTAAATTTTGTAATGATATTAGTATGCAAAGTTGGGACTGCATAAATACCCATGACGACCCGAATAGTATGTGGTGTGCATGGAAAAACATCTTTTCTACTGTAATTGACAGGCATGCCCCCCTCAGGTCTAAGCGTATTCGAGCTTCAATATCACCTTGGATTGCATCGCATTTAAAACAGCGCATGCATGAACGGGATATTTTGAAGATAAGAGCTTCTCGATCAAATGATCCCAATGACTGGTCTATCTTTAAGAAATGTTGCAATTCTGTAAATTATGAAATTAAGCAAGCTAAAGAGAATTATTATATTAAATGCCTTTAGTGAGAATGCAGGTAACTCACGCAAGACATGGGGTATTATCAATGAGCTAACTGCGAGGAAAACAAAGAATTCGCACATAAAAGAAATCAAATGGTGCAGTATTTCAATTAGTGACCCAAAGGAGTTATCTGAAGCTTTCAATGATCATTTTGCAAGAGTTGGGCCTGAACTTGAAAATGATATCCCATGCACAGCTAATGACCGTTCACACCTTAGTTATTTGACTGGTGTGACGAAAAGTTTAAAATGAAGCCTACTAATTGCTCCACTGTTCTTTCAAAAAACACAGCTGTTGGTTCATGTAAAAACACAGCTGCTGGTTTGGATCACTCGATATCGATTATTCCTGTGGTAGCAAAAGTATTTGAAAGGGTAGTCTATAATCAGACTTTTGCATTTTTAAATGAAAACAATCTATTGTCTTGTCACCAATCAGGGTTCCTGTGCCTTCATTCTACAGTCACTGCATGCTTTACTTGAAACAACTGATGACTGGGTGTATAACATTGACCACGGTAATATTAACACTGTTGTTTTCTTAGACCTCAAGAAAGCGTTCAATACTGTTGACCATGAAATTCTGTTATCTAAGTTAAACACATACGGCATTGATGGCATGGAAAATAATTGGTTTAAATCGTATTTGAATAGCCGAAATCAAAAATGTTTTGTGAATGGTTGCCTTTCACAAAATCGTTTCCTATCATATGGAATCCCACAGGGTACAATTCTAGGGCCTTTATGATTTATTCTTTACATTAATGATTTACCTGTCTTTCTTATACACAACCTCGTATGTACGCTGATGACACAAATTTATCTTCTGCTAGTGATAGCATTGATGTCATTGAACATAACCAATGTTAATTGGTTATAGACAGAGATTAAGAACTTTTGAGAAATCTCCATAATTAGTTATTGATGGTGCCTCATTAAAACGGGTTTGAAATTGTAAATCTCTGGGTGTTACTATTGATGAGAACCTTACCTGGAGCGAACATATCGATCGACTGTGTAAAAAGATTGCCAGCAACATTGGAGCAATAAAATGAACCAGAACACTTTTTCCCCACAGGACGCTGCAATTGATATTCAACTCTCTTCTGGAGCCACATTTTGACTGCAGCACTGTGTGGGGAAATTGTGGTAAAACACTCGGTACTAAGCTTCAAAAATTGCAGAACCGCACCACCCAGGATTGAATTTTTTCTGGCTATGACACTAGTGCTGACAATTTATTCAAAGACCTTGCCTGGAAAAATCTTGAATTACAAAGTCAAATTGGTGAAGCTGCCATGGTTTACAAGTCTCTAAATGGACTTGCTCCAGATGATCTAAGTTCGAGACTTGTTGACCTCAGCAGCATCACCAATTATCAACTTAGAAATACAGAAGCCAGCCCTACTATTCCATGTAAATAGATTCCCAGATGAATTAATGAATGTTAATTGGTTTGAATTAGAAGGAATCAATAATCTGGAAAATGCTTATTTTTGAATAAATTTAATGAAGTTTCTAGCAGTTGTTTTCCATTGAAAAAGTTAAAAAAGAGACATGGTTTGAGTAAGCTGTGGCTTTCACAGGGTATTTTAACATCTATTAAGAAGAAACATAAATTGTATAAAAAGCTCTTAAAGTTTGAAATCCTACACCTCAATCAGAAACATTGTATAAAACGTATAAGAATAAATTGAATCATTGTATAAAAAATCTAAGAGATTGTATTATGAAAGGAGACTAGCAAATTTAGTGTAGGACTTGTATAGATATTTGTATGCTTTTCATTTAGCACAGGTAATCTCAACTGTTTAGGGTAAAATGACCATGGCGGTCAATGGCATATGTGCCAAAACCTGAATCCGGGGCGAAAGTCCTGAAAATGACCCCACCCTGAAAGCGACAGCCTTTCTGATGTGCTCATAGTGTGTTTAGAAGGGTTATGACAATGTTTGCATGCATTTGAAAATTATTTTATTGATAAATTTTTTCACAGAAAAAAATCAGGCTTTTAGCTGTCCAATGACAATACAAATCGAATACAATTTGCCAGTTGGAAACTGAAAACAGAGGTACAAAACTATTGAGTATAAATCACGTTTGGAACTAAAAATTCATGACTTATAAAATTAAATAATTGTTGATAAATGTCGTCACTGCAGCAACAAACACCCAAAACCCTATAAATGTTAATATGAAATACTCTTTGTATTATATAAAAAATATAATATTAATTAATCTCTACATAATCTTACTGTAAGCATAGTACATGCAAGAAAGTTTCTAATTGACAAATTTTGATACATCTCTTTGTTACTTTAGAAGTTGACATATCAATCAAAATTACTTTTCATACAATTAGAAACAGTTGCATAAACAGGCTTACACTAAATACAGGTTAGTATATTAATATTGTGTTCATGAATCATGTATATAAAATTATAACAAAACTATAAATGTTTACTATAAACATAGTAAAGCATTTGCAATATATTATAGTATGGTATATTACTATTAAACGAAACTCAATTGCATGTTTACTTTGGTGTTCAATAACATGTTTTTAACTATTCATACTGCTTACTGCTTGATTTCAAAAATAACAGTGCAGTAGCTGCTGTGTTCTCATCATCAGCCGAGTCAGTGCATTCAGCGTTGTTACTGCATTCAGGGGAGTCAGTGCACAGTTGAAATGATGGCCCATTGTCTGGTGGACTTTCTAATTCATCTTGTTGAAGTTTCAAAGCTAACTTGAAATCAGCTATTTGTTGATAATCTGAAAGCATCACAACATCACTTTCATCAGTGCACAGTTTTTTAGATGGAAATACAATGCTGTACTCCTTTTCGAGAATTCCTTTTTGTTGAAGCATTCTGTGATCTGTATCACGTAGTGCACTAGAGTTTTGCTTTGTGATTGTCGAACTTGATCGCCCTTTGAGCGACGAGTTGATCACGACCGAATGCAATAGACTCGTCACGTTATCACGAGTTGGTAGCATGCCTTTGCAATAAAGCAACGTCTTTATTTAATTTCAACCAATTTCGAAGTCTATTAACTACATATCAATGCGGTTGTTCATCTAAGAGTATATCTTCGATTTTTTTCTGTCAGGAGTTCTGAACTTTTTCGACGGCCATTCTTGCATTCTCGACATTTTTATTTGCTGCAGTTAACTTGCTCTCAAGTTGTGCGATATTCTTCGCTAGGGCTTATGTTTTAGACTTCTGGTGGTTATGCTTCGATAGCATTCCACAGGAAAAGGCTGACTGACAAGGACTAAATCCACATGCTTTTCGAGTGTGACCTAGTTTGAGATGGCAATTTCCGTATGCATTGAGATGTCCTTGGTTCTGGTCGCACGCTTTCTGTAGTTTGAAATCAAAATCTGAGTTCTTTCGTATTACTTGTCAACTCAACAGAATTATTTTGCACTACCTCAGCCTGTTTCTTGGCATATCTTTCTAGTGGTAATACAATGCACGATGATTCTTGTTTACTTGTAGGTGAGGACTCTGGCATTGTGTTTATTATAGAAATCTGAGGATTTGCAATGTTATTGATGTTAGTAGTATTTTGTAAGTTTAGGAATCTCCTACTTTGAAAAACCTCATCTGGCTTACGTTCTTTGCCTGCAGAAACAGACGTATTATTACTAAAGGCGACCGGTGACTCTGCAACAGCAACGTAAACAGAAATTATTTTCATTCCTTCATTCAGGAAAGAAAACATTTGTGACAAAAAATATTTGGTGGAAATGTCAACCTCAGAATTATCATCGTCGACACTTTGTCATTCTAAGCACCACACAGTGTTGTAATGAGTCGAGTCATTGACTCTGACTCGAGTCAACTCGAGTCGCTATTTTCAGCAAATCGACTCGGGTCCAATACGAAAAATGACTCGACTCGAGTCAACAGACCCAAATGACTCGACTCGGACTCGACTTGCTGATTTTGCCGTAAATGACTCGAGTCAACTCAGCTGCAACTTGTACAGAGTAAATTCATCACAATAATTGTGATTGTATTGCTTGGGAAGAACAATGAGCCCTGTAAACAATGAGAACTTTGAAAATTTATCAGAAAATATATGGGATTTGCATAGAAAATATATTCCGGACGGGCATGCCTATATTACATTTCTGTTTTTAGAAACAACGCTAGTGCCACAGTTTTTAAAATTGAGTCTCAAAATTTTTTGTACTTATACTAATTCTGACAGGCTATTTTCATTTGTGGTATTTATGAAGGGCTATATAATTTCAAATTAACTTACAAAGCGTTGTTAATTAAAGTCTATTCTTTGTTAATTCTGACTCCAGTTGCAAGTTTTGCTAGTTGTATGTGCGTACACTCGATCAGCAGGCATGATGAGACATCTCATGTGGTTGTACTTAATATTGACTGGAACTGTGATATTGGCACAGCCTATAGCTGCCCAGATACTGTTATTAAATGACTAAAGTAATTAGTTTAAAACGCAAATTTGATTACTAATTTCCGACTGCAAGCTAGGGTAGCTCAAGTCAAGTCTAGAAATTGACTTGACTCGAGTGAAGCCACTGACTCGACTCGATCAAAAACTGAAATGACTCGACTCGACCTGTAGGTGACTTGTTACAACACTGGCACCACAGCTTCCGAAGAAATTTTCTTCAGATGAGGAACTTCTTTTAGCACCAACCCATGAAATATTTTGAATGTTAATGATAATAAAATCATCATTTGAAATAAAAATCGGGGTCACATGATTTTTGTTATAATATTTGTACTCTACTCTTACTGTAACATTATCCATCGTGTAAACAAGCGCTGAGTTCGCCAATATACCACACCTTCCCGTCACCTTGTGTGTATTTTGGCACCACATTATTAAATTTAGCCTTAGCAATATTCGAAATTTCACTTAACGACACATGCGTTCAACCACTGGAGGTATCTGCATGTCATGACATCATTAAACACTCAACTGCAATCCGCAGTAACAGGCAACAACAAAACTAACATTATGCAAATGTTAGTGTTCAAAGTTGATGGCCTAGAAATATCTGAGTATTTTACTAATATTGGGCTTAATCAAGCTAAACAAATACAATGCTTCCCTGTTTCGCATAAGAATTTTCTTGATTGTTGCTTTCCTAACTCAATCTTTCTAAATCCAGTTGACGAAAGCAAAATGATTCAAATCGCAAAAACATTTGACACTAGTAAAAGCTGCTGGTTATGACAGAATTCTAATGTCTGTCACAAAGAAATCTATTAATTAATCTAATATCTATACCTATAGCTCATATTATGAACTTGTCTATAAATCATGGCATAGTACCAGATAAAATGAAAATTTCCCGTGTTATTCCTGTGTTTATTCTGGCGACTATGGTACATTTACAAATTATATACCAGTTTCTATTCCGAGTTTTGAACGAATTATTTACAACAGTTTAATTAACTATATTGATAAAAATAGAATTCTCTTGTGACAGCCAGTATGGATCCAGAAAGCAGCACTCAACATCTTTAGCCCTGATCAATATTTATATGTAGGTTAAAAGCCAAGGGAGAGGTTTTTGTTGCATGCCATATATGGCATGCAACTTTCATATAGCTCTAAATTTCGTGTCGTTGTGAGCGGTGATGAGCGGTGGTGAGCGTACCGGTCATGTGGCAAATTCGTAAATTACAACCAATATTAATTACCGGGTTTTTCGGACGAGCATTTTCATCACTCATGGCCCATGCACGTTAACTTTTCGTCCAACAGCTTTCGTCAAGGAAAGGCAAAGAAAAATGTTTGATTGTTCGCGGAAAATTTACATATTTGAGCGATATTTACATTAGAAAAATTGAATCGTAATGTAATGCGAAACCACTTGTCGACAAGGAGTTTTAAACGCTTTCGACCTTGACCATGTTTGATTTAATTGTTTATATTACCGTCGTTTGCAACTAATGATGAACAGTCACTCATAAAAACATTGCCTATTCCAACCTCGTTCCCAGGGTTTTTAACGAATATTACACTGGAAGCATGTTGATGTAATTTGATACTTTGCCCACACACCCTCAGGCGCTAAATTTTTTATGAGGCACGTGGCCGGCCGCAGCCAGGGTCTGTCCCAAAGAAAGATTCTGGGTACGAGGTTGTGCCTATTCGCGTGAGAATCTTAAGTTTTCTTATTTTGACATATTAGCTATTTTTCAATAAACATATTGATATTTAACTTATTGAATCAATATTTTAAGTTTTAGGCCAGTTGTACCAAAAGTTATAAGCAGTAGCACATCATAACCAGGGAACAGGGTGTGTCATACAGAAGCCCAATTTCTTGGTTTTTCCTATGATTTTTAAATGATTTTTGCATGATCGTAATTTATCATCAAAATGCTGACGCCATGATCCTGGCTGATGCGCTTTTGGGAGGCATTCACCCCGATAATATTCAAAATGACAGACGTCCAGGGGGAATGCCTCTTCGGCACGCACTGGCTGGGACATGACAGCGGTTACTCTAAATCGACCTTCTGTGTGTCTTTGTTCAGTGCCAGGGAGGTGACTGCTTCTGGTTATGGTACTTGCCGAGTGACAAATCATGACAAATAGTATTCACACAGGAAGCAATGGAGATGATTTCCGTATAGTATTATGAGTCATGAGGTTTGTTTTGATGGCATGCAACATGTACGCACTGCGTACCTATTTTTATTAAACTGTGAAGACCGAGGGCCGAAGGCCCAAGGGTCTTTACAGTTTAATAAAAACCGATATCTGCGGCTTTTAACTTGTTTATATACTCATCAGACAATATTCTTTTGTATTTTGGAGGTTTTCTTCATTAAAAATTCAAGCTATATCCACGATGGCTGGTTGCTATGCAGTTTGCTCCCGGAGTCAAATTGCCCCCGTATATTGGTTTCCAGTTTCCTAGCTGTAAATTATGGCGCGGTTCAAATACTGCGTCTTTGGCGCTCCTGTTTGCGTTTATTTTTCAACGTTTTAAAACAATACTTGCTCAATCTGTACTACATCGAACCGTCTCTTAGCTCGTGTGCACAAATAACCTATACGGTTATTTGAAAACGGTAAAATGTTGGCGTTGTTGTGGCCATGTATTTTCGCCTTTTGAGCGATGAGAATCATGCCGAGAAGGACAAATTGTACTGTCTAGGGGTCTCACAGCATCGCACGTGCATGGCCTACAATCCCCCCTTGAAAACCCTCCTGAATTTGGAGCATTGCCGGAATTATTAGTAGAATAGCTAAGAAAATAGCCTTTATTTAAGCAGAAATAGCCTTTATTTAAGCAGAGATGAGGGAGCCGTTTTCTCGCTATTAAAGACAACATGCCTTGGTAATCTGATATATAGTGGTAGATGTACTATGATCTACGGAAAACCATCATGAAAAACGTTTGGAATTGTAACTAAATGATAAAATTAAGTGTGCGTAAAGACACAAAATCTGTTTCAGAGAAAGCTGCGTATCTTAAGGAATTTAAATCACTAGTATACTGTATGTTACTGTTATTTTATGCAGTTACGGATCTTGCGCAGTATAAGTAATAAACTGTAGTAGGCTGTAGTATACTTCGCAGGTATGATTGCACTGTAGCTAAATCTGCTATATATATTGTCAAATGGAACTATGTGTTTATATATGAATATCTCAAAAATACATCGTACACAAATATAATATGAAAGCATTTTATAATAGAACATATTCAACAAACAAATATTCTTGCGAGAACTATAGTATGGCTAGGTTTTTTGACGCGACTAACCAAAACAGTCAGTATGTTTCTCTGTCCGGCTGTCGATATATTACTTTAAATCGATATATGTTATGTATTAGCCGCATCAGATAATTTCCCCAAAATTACCTGCATATACTGATGAAGAAACACAAGTCTAGGCAAAAAGAGGAACAGTTTGTACATTGGTTTGCGTTCCGTATTATGAAATATAAACTATACGGGAGCAAATATGATATATCGTCTGCGGCGCAGGCTAGAGGTATTCGACGGCAGTTAATAGTTCCAACCAGTTATTTGACAGCTAAATAAAATTATCACAATTGTTCCATTTAAATATGGAAGTTTATAAATCAGTTAAAATATACCAACAAATTTGTTTTATCTGCAAGAAATTTTAAGCCAAATACATGACCTTTCCGATTATAAGGTTAATAAACAACGCCATTTCGCATTCACACCAACACCGCTGGAAAAAACGAACCCCGCGCTTCCGGGAGCAAAATGCATAGCAACCAACCACCGTGATCAATTCAATGAGAGGTCATTGCGGTTGTGGGATGAAATAACTAGGTGTAACATGCGCATTAATACGCTTTAAAATGTGGTTAAGCATGCGCAGTATATAATTTCACGTCCCACAAGCGAAACAGCAGATATTACTGTATAAATTCCCTGCATAAGCAAGCCCGATGGTTGATCTAGCTAGTCCTTGTGCGCCGAATGATAGATACTTTTACCTAATGGTAGAGTTTTGACGGGCTCTGAGGTACACAGCTGTTGTCTCTTTCTCGACTTAGAGACGTGCAGCATTTTCTAGTCGAAAATGTGGGTCTTGAGTTTTCCTGCAAATTCAAGTCCCGAATTCAAGACTCGTGCCAGGTCTTGAATTGAAAATGTAAATCCGGGTAATCGGTTATTATTTTTTCGTAATAACCGGGTAGCAGGTTATTACGGA